GCTGCGAGCGGCCGGCAGATCGAGCTTTCCGTAATAATTAACATTAAATAAAAAGGCTGGGCGGAGAGCCTCCTACAGCCTCGTCTTTAGAATACTTTTGGGGGTGGTTGAGAGGAAAGCGTGCAGAGCCGCTTTTGCAGCCGAACCAGGCTCGCCCGTGCTTGCCTTGTGCCGCCGAGAACTTCCGTTTGGGCCGAAGTAGTTTCGCTTTCCGGCTGGGGCGAGCGCCGCTAGTTTCGGCGGGCTTCAGTTCTTCAGATCCCGGCTGCGGTCCAGGTGTGCATTTTTCCACCTGCTAAAGGAAGCGCAGGACAGCACGAGCCCCCGGCGTGCGCGCAGATGTTGGCGTCCCGCCTCGCCGAGCGGCTTTCCCCTGCTCCTCGGCTCTGCCCCGCGATTCCTCGGTCGCCGACAGGCGTAGACGGAGCTGCTAGTGGCTTTTCTCCTGGATGAAATGGCTGGATGACAGAGGAGGTGGGATTACCCGGGTCTCCACTCCCAGCTTCTCCACAAGAGCGTTTGCCAAAGCTTCGTTAACGAGTGGAAAGAACCATTAATGGGAAAGGCAGCAAGTGTAACGCTGGGTGGGGTTCTCCCGGAGGGACTGGGCTGGCAAGGTCTCACTTCCGAGTCTGTATCTCAGAGACGTTCGGGACTGCGCCGCTCCTCTCTGCCCCCTCCCGCAAACGGATCCCTGACATCCGGAGAGTGGAGTACCGTTTTCCTACCCTTTCTGTACTCAAGATAGATCTGCTTTGGCATGAATGCCCACAAGCAGCTGGATGATCCCACAAGCAGTTTTCAAGTCTGTCCTGGCCCCATCCTTCTGCTTTGAGATTCTCATCAGGAGAGTTGTGTTTTGACATTTGCATGTGTGTGTGAGAAAGAGAAAGAGAAATCTATCATGGGCTGAGAGCTAGAGATCCCAGTTTCTGTCTAACCATAGCACAAACATTTCTTTTTCCTCCTGTGTGTCCACAGTGTTGTATTCATCTGATCCCCAGCCCATATCTAAAGTACGCTTAAGTTGTCCTTAGTTGTACCAGTATGAAAGTCCTCTTTCTCCTGACACAGATTTTGCCACAGATACAACTGATCCTCTTCAGTTAGTGGCATAGTCAAGTGACCCCCACCCCCATGATGGGATCTAGTTGACACCTGTTGGCCACTTGCAATACTCCTTCCCCCAGACTCTGTCCTCTGGGGTCATACTGCTTTCAGCACTGGGAGAATCCAGTTCTTTCAAACCATGCTCTCCCTCATACCTGGGGGAATCAGCCCAAGCAGCAGCAGACCAGCAGGGGTGGTAGGGGAGTTTAAAGTCAAGCAGCAGAGTTGCTCCACTCTACAACTCTCCCCAATTGTTGTTTGGGCTTCTTTTGAACATGGGGTTAGCACAATTACAGAACAGCGCTAAACCTGTGTTCACAGTCACTAGCCTCGTTACCTATCAAATGTCCTTTCTTCCCCAGCCATATCCTATATTAGGAAGAGTGATTGGTTGTGATGGAATGTAAACTGGGAATGGAGAAGGGATCAGTGAACTATTAAGGGAGGAGGAGCTTCAGAAAAGTTTACTTAGTCCTAGTGGGGAAAAAAAGTACAAGAAAGAAATTCATATAACCCTTCCCTAATTTTCTTGGATGTAAGATGTAGCAGAGACAATCTCTGATATGTTCTCAAGATGGTTATAATGCCCTGCAACAATAAACAGCATTCCTGAAACCCCTGATGCTCCTCTTTCTTGATCTTGTCTATCTTGAAAAGCTGACAGTGGTAGAGATTTTTCCACTGGTTGGTGATGGGAGGAGAGGAAAATAAAGTCATGGCCTCCCACCAATCTCTGTCATTTATGTGCTCTTTATGCTGTAGTTAAGGACAGTACCATTTGTTACCAGGATCACCAATGAGGGCAGCAAATGGCATGTCGAAATAGTTTTCTGTTGGCTCAATGACTGGTGGGTAGCATTTTAACTCATTTGGAAGGATCAGCACTGTCTGCTTGCTTCCAATGAAGTTTTTGCTGTGAAATCATCCTGCCTCATTCATAAAAAAACTAGAGGTGTCTTCCACTTGTAGTGCGTTCATGCTTTACCATCCTCCCTTCTTGCATCATTTTTCTTCGCAGAAAAAGAAATGGTATGGCTTTTGTTCATGTAGAATACCTTCACTTCTCTCCAGGCAGTTCTTGTCCCCATGCTACTGCAGATCCTGTTCAGAAAGGTCTCCAAATCATCAGCTAAGGGTCTCTAAAGGTTGTCAAGAGGAAGAGTATGAGGAAGTCCATTTCTGCAACAACCCTTCTGTCAACATGGCATTGTGTATAAACTGGTGTAATGTCACCAACCATAAGATGTTACAAAGCTAAGAACAGTCCAACTGGGAGCTCCTTCAGTCTGTAGGTGAAAGAAACCATATAGTAAGGAGTGTGTAATAATAATATGCCTTGGCCTAGGAAGGAAATAGGGTGGTATCATGTGATCACGGACCATTTTATATGTTATTGAGGACTAAAGTTGTTTCAGAGAAAGTTGGATATGCATTTCATAAATTTATGGCAGTAAAAAATAAATTAGAAGGCATTATCACAACCATTTTCTGGTGAAGCACTGGCTGTGTTTTTCCTTTAGCACCTTTTATTGTTTGAATTGCATTGTCTTTTGCTGAAGTATTATTGAATTGAAAACTATTAAAATCAGCTGTTGTGTGGAATTTAGCTGCTTATCTGAATTTAAGCAAATAAGAAATGGCGAAGTAAGGGAAACAGAGAAAAATGTTTTAAAGCATTATTAATGCTACGTATCTACCTATATCCTAACAAGCAGGATGAGGGACACTCTGTAGGTTAATTTACTGTACTGTAGGTAATTATGACATGGGCTACAATAACGTAGAATTTGTTTCTTGCATTGAAATTGGAACAGGTAGCCGTTTTCCAGATAAAAGCCTTTGCTGGAATCCTATTTGAAAAGATGTTTAAGATCTACTAATCTATGAGTTATGCTTTTAGTTTCTTAGTCTCTGTTGCTGGAATGCAGATCAAGTAAAGTTACACATTTGTTATACGTCAGGCTGTAATTTTTGGATAGATAGATGCTATATAACAGCAAAAGGCAAGCACAATGATTTGATAAAATACATGTACAAAGCAGGAGTTCCTTTCATTGAGACATATAAGTTGGGTTTTTAATAAGAAAATACTCCAGTTCTATATAGGCACAATTTCTTAATAAAAAGAGTTGAAAATACTTACATGGAATGTTTTGGTTTTGGCTTGATGTATCTTTTTTCCTGGAAAGCAACATGTAATGCATATAACATACAATATGTATTAGAGAATATACATTTGAATTCCAGGTAAACCTGAATTGGGCACCTGCTCAGGAACACATCAGATTAAACCTAATTCTTAAGATTGTCCTTTAGTATTCTTACATCTCTTTTATCTTCACTGTCAACAGTAGCCTAACTCTCACCGTTTAGCACTGAGCTTGATTAATAGTGATGAAACAAAGCAACTTCACGTGCTTGAATTTTTTTTCCTTAGTAGAAAAATGTAATAATTTCCAGAGATAATTGTATTCAGCAAATTTATTATGGCATTCTTTTATGAGGTATCTATAGGTTTTATCCCAAATTATAATTGGTCAGGATGGGTGAGTAGATAGTTGTAAATTACTATACTGTAATTTGGACAGGAATAAAGGAACGTTAAATACATTATAAAACCAGTGATATCATTGTTAAAAAAACACCAATTTTTTAATGAGTGGACACTGATAATAAATTATCTTTGTTGATACTTAGTGTGTTTAATTTCTTTTGGATCATATTGAAAGCAATTTTCATGCCTCATCTGTGCATGCCAGTGTATTCCCATAACTTTGGATATCACTTTAACTATATTTTGATAATATTTAATTATCTTATGGACTATGGCTCATCAAAGTGGATGCCTCATAATTTTGTTGCTATTTAAGTGCTACTTTAAAAAAACATGCATGTATATTGTAAATGAGTCTAGTGCCATAAATAAAGCATTACAGCAGAGACCTTGGCCTCCTATTTTTTCTAGAAATCACCTGAATGTTAAGCATGCAGATGTTGATAAAATTATAAATTTCAACTTTATAGAACTCTGGCACTTCATTGTTGTATCTTATTTTAAGTTACTTTTTACTCTTTTCATTCATTTTTGAACATTTAAAGCATAGAGCAGAAGAGGTTAAATTATGAAACATGTATGTGTATATCTGATCCTCAATATGTTGACTGAGTTGTTTGTGATAGTTTGAATTAATTGAATTCAATTATAGCTTCTTACAGCTATCAGGTTGTCTGTGCTGAATAAATATCCTGAAACACCATAGAAGCAGAAAGATTTATATTGTGAAAACCCAAGAATAGAGTACAGGTAGTCCTCACTTAATGTCCATTTGTTCATCGACCGTTCAAAGTTATGATGGTGCTGGGACCAGACCGGTCATGTGATAAAATTTGAGCCAGCCTGCATTTACAGCGCCCCCCCTGCTGCCCCCCAGCTGACCTTTGTTGTCTTTGCAGGCCTCCCTTCCACTGGGCTCACCTGCCTGGCCACGCATGGGGCGACACTGCAGCTCTGGGGTTTTTTGCCACACCGTGGCTCTGGGGCTGCTTCATGTGCTG